TACAAAACCCATACGGAACTGCCCGATCTTTCATAGGCGTCAACATGGTGTAATAATCAGAAAAATGTAATCATTATTATATTGGAAATTTTAGAATTATATTGATTAAATAACCAAAAACATTTGTTATTATTAATAATATAAATTTTATATAATAACTCTTTAAGTCTAATATTCCACAAAATAATCAATTTAATTAAATATATTAGACAATCGTACGCAACTGATACAGAAATATTTCAAATTTTATTGACAGTTAAGCGTGTGGCAAAAGTGTATAAAGTGTTGCCGCTTTTTTAGAGTAGAAATTTTGTTTATGTTTTAATTTCTTACACAAATTGATCATAATATAATATATATTACTAAATTGTGTTTATAAATACATATTTAATTGGGATTAATAGCTTTAAAAAACTAATTATTTTTGTGTATTGTGATTGTGATATGCCAAAACAAATAAATAGTCTGTAGAAAGCTGATAAGCTTTCATATAAGATAGTTTATTTTGAACAAAAAATAATGGTGGGACGTTTTTACTATTAAGGCCCTAAAGGAGGTAAGTTTTAAAATTTAGAATATATAATTTTGTATTAAAATGTTTTCTTATGTATTTTAATGTATTGCAGTAGTCTCAAAACTAAGTGTATTTATTGTTAATATAATAGTTTGACAAATAGTTGACATTTTAAAAATTCCTTACTTACTAACTATTATGATGTTTTGGCAACGCTATGTGATTGTGACGGCGTAAATCTTGAATGACGTGCAAGCTTTTTTATATGAAAAATGCTATATATCTTCATGTAAAGCTATTAGTCTGACATCCTTACCAAATTCACCTATAACTTATGTTGATTTCTACATGTACTACTGTTTAAGTCTTCCATAATTATGATATCCCGAGCTCACTTTAATAATATCCGAGTGTAGTTTCTTAAATAAGTAGTCTTTACCGATGACCAATGCATGATCATTTTAATCATGATTTGTATTTATTTTTAATAAAAATTAATCCGTTACAAAATATTTGATTACTTTAAAGAATTAAAGAATAAGCTGAATACCAATCGATTACGAAAACTTTTACATTAATAATTTGAACAAAGACGCTATTACATGTGCGAAATAAAACATGTGTTGATATTGATTTTGGTCGAGAAATATTATTAGTAACAATACATCTTATAACAATGAGGATACCCCACAAAGTAATGCACAAATAAATATTAATTTAAAAATCAATAAAATAAAGTTTAAGGAAGTGTATTATTAAAAAATAGAACGATAAAATATTTCTATCTTTAAAATTGACATTTTACATGCCATATTGAATGCAGAATGTTTCGAGACATATTATTGGGTATGGCATTAGATTGGGTATCCAATCCTTAGTGTAAAGTAGGGCAAAGTAGGTGTAGTCAGGGCCAACAAAGAAAAGACAAATGGTTCTTCGAGAAGAAGTTTAGGCGTATGGATAATAATTCTACCTTGTAAAAGATCCACTTATTATGAAAACTAAAAGGATGCCTAACGAGATTACGAACCAGCTGAAATTATACTAACGTTGGGTAATGGAATCGAAACAAGACCAGTAAAAATTAACCGAGAAGTAAGACAAGGAGACCAATATCTTCAAAATTATTTACAGCTTCCTTGGAAGATATCTTTAAGTCAATAGACTGGGAAACTAAGGGAGTCCCTATTAACGAAAGATACTTGAACCAACTTAGATACGCAGATGATGTAGTTCTAATAGCCGACACGTGGAATGCACTAAATACGATAATTGAGGAGCTACACACAGAATTTCTATAAAAAGAACTGAAAATAAATTTTAGCAAAACTAAAATAATGTCAAACAAAGATGACAAACCTATGATAAAAATCGAAGGGACAGAGATAGAACACGTAGATGAATATACATATCTGGGTCAAAATGTCAAGGTAAGCAGAGAAAATCAGACTACCGAAATAAGCAGATGTGCAAAAATGGGATGGGCAGCATTCGGAAGATTCTCATACGTACTTAAAAATAAAAATACACCTCAAAGACTGCGATCCAAAGAGTTTAGTTCTTGTATCCTACCTGTACTTACATATGGAGCTTAAACCTGGACATTCACTAAAATAAACATGGACAAGATCAGGAAAACTCAGAGACCTATGGAACGACAGATGCTGGGTATCTCACTCAAAGACCATAAAACCAATGAAGACATTGACATGTCAAAGGTTTTCTTTAACTATGGGATGTTTATGTATACAATTCTCCAGTACGCCCCTGTCCGAGACGGAATGTATGCGTTTATCTGTTTGCAACGGAAGTTAAACTGTTAGATATATTGCGTTTTATTTTTCGACGTCGCTAGAATCAAGTTGAAAAATATCTCAAGGTTAATTTTCGAGTTAATTCGGCGATATGTAAGATCACAAGCCGTGAAGAGGGGAGAGTAGCTTGCCTGTTTTGAGATCGGGGGGGGGGGGGCGAAGTCAACTTTAGGTTTGAAGATTTGCTCCAACAGAATAGTCGTTGTTATGTGGTGATAAAAAAGCCAGTATAATTTGCCGAAAATAAGTGGAATTTTACTCTATGTAATATGTCGAAGAGTAACCACTGTTTTGATGTTCTAAAGATTTGTGTCAACATTTGAAAAGTGAATAAGATGGTTCCCGTTTTTCTTAAGAAATCCCGTTTTCCATAGTTTGCATAAGCGCCTCTTCAACCTCACTTACTTGTTCCTAAAGCAGTTTATTTAGTTCGTGTCCAGAGAGTTTAACTCCAGTTCTAACCCCAGGAATTTTAGAGATCCAGTTTTCAACCCCCAAAAATATTTTAAAGTGTAATCTAGTGAAATAAAGGCAACATTTTGTGTTTAGTTTCAATGTGAAGTAGACATTTTTTTTCTAATAACAATAATTGCTTTCATAACAATTTAAATTTTTAATAATAAAATATTGTACTTAAATCTTGCGTGTGGTTATACTGTCAATTAAATTGTTTTCTGTCATCAAAATTCAATGTTGATATGTCACAGCTAGCGTTAATAAATTTGATATTCAGACTGTTTTGTTTTTAAATGAGGTTAACCTCTATTATACATAGTTTTACTTAAAAAAAGATATCTTTAATTTTTTAAGATAAGTTTTTTCTTTCTATTTTATTTTGGTATACACCCATGTAATTTTATACTGTAATTGTTCTGTTTGTGTAACTGTTTGTTTAAGACAAAATAAATCTAGCAAGTTTAGGATTCTTGAAAGCGGCGTCCTTCTTTCAAATAGCTAGAGGTCTGTTCTTGTTTTCTCTACCGTGTCTCTATTTGTCCATTTTTCCATGAGATTTATGTAAGTGCCCCTTTGTTTTTATTTTTTGTGTAGTTGTCCCAATCCAACCCCCTTGTCATTCAACTTATTCACCACCCGGCTCTCCAATTAAGCCCTGAGTGCCGTCCGTATAAGTATTGATTATTTTGCTCGCCCTATCTCCGCCCCAATAATTTCTGTCCCCAATTTTCTATCCCTCATAATCTTACCCTATGGTAGGCAAAATATATCAGATATGTATGTGTGGTATGTCAGATATCGCAAAATAATTCTGAAAAACTTGAGTGCCTTGGCCTAAAACTGAAAATGTATTTAAATTAATACAGGTTGATTATTTTTATAACAACAATTGTACATTTTTAATTATTGTAGACTCTAAATCAAAGTGTGTTGATATACATGTTATGAAAAAGGGTACTTCAGTATTACACACCTTAAACAAGTTAAAGATAACTTTCTCTTTAATGGGTTTGCCAGTTATTCTGGTGATTCCACCATATCATCCTCAGATAAATAGGTGTACAAAGCAACATGTTCAAACAGTCAAATCTACATTGGACATTGCATGCATTTTACATTCGACAGTCTGAGCTCACTACGAAGCAGCAAGTGGTAAATTTCCTATTTAAGTATAGAAATACACCAAGTACTAGTACTGGGTTAAGTTCAAAAGTAATAATTATTTTCAAAGTTAAACCTAGAACCAGAATTAACCTTTTAAAACCCAGAAAGGAAGGGAAAGTTATGTTCAACAAAAATGTTAAATATCTAAAACCAGATGTCTTTACTACAGGTGAAAAAGTGTTAGTAGGTAAATTAGGTCCATATGTTCAGGAAAAATGGGTAGAAGAGGTTATTGTAAGATGTGTAAGTGCAACTACCTCTTTTATAAAGGTAGACGATAAAACTATGTATATGTAAATTAATTCAGATAATTAACTAACACACATGTAAACCTAGATGTTGAAAAATGTACTGAGTTTTTACCAGTATCATATGTAAATGTAGGCAATGGTCTGGTTCCTATAGCTAAAATTCCAAATTCGGATGAACAAGATAAGGGAAATATGATACAGGTAAAATCTCCCATCCAAACAGAGACACACCCTAGTAGTAGCCTGTCACAATCAGTTAATGGTGATGCCTTAGTAAACTTACCTGGAAGTAAAATATCCCTGAGACATAGTTCCAGGATAGGCAAAAAAACCCATCAGATCAAATCTTTAGTTTAGGATCAGAGTAAATCATTAATTTTATTGTTTTTGTTAGAAGGAAAGGAAATGTTATATATTTGTTTAGTGTTAAGCTAGTTATAGCTGGAGACGATTGGTAACACGGGAATTATAACAATTGGCAGGACTGGCAGTGTCACTTTTGTCCAGGAATTATCTAAGCTAGTGCGTGAGCGAACATTGTATCCGACTATAGAAGGTTAATTGTATAATTTATTGGTAACATGTTAAATATAATTGTTTAACCGAACCCACAACGTTTATTTACCATTTCATCAAGTAGTACACATAACAATAAAATTACATATGAAAAAAGTGCATACATTAAAAATGGAAGGAGTTATTTCCACTTTAAGGATACAATTTTATTTAAGGTATAATCCAGTATAATTTTAGTTGATACTATTAATAATGATCATAACAATTGTGTTAAAAACTATTAACTTACCCCACACGTTGAGACAATCGAAGTTCTGGGCTGCAGACATTAAAAGTATAGTTAGTTTCAAGTGGAATATTCTTTTCAAGAACACACGCGAATGTATCTTCCCAATACTGCTCAAACCAGGGATTTCTTGTGTTTCGTTCTGGTGTCAATGACATCATATATTCGTCAAATCCGGGGATATTATTCGACTGCAGTTCAACTGTAATTGCACCTTCTGCTACATCCTCTAGGCCTTCGACCAGCTTTTGCTGTTTGCCCCAACCATCACTTGCTACCCAATAGAATGCTTGACTGGCATTTAGTCTTTTGGCAGCCTGAAGAATTCGTCTGCAAAAAATGAGTACTTTTAGTTGTAGTCGTTACGGTTATATTCGCGGTTAGATACTTTGTTGAACACAATAAATTATTTTTGTGGAAAATATATTAAAACGTAAATCATGTATACGTTAATTAACAAATTAATTCATATTGTTACAGATAGCATGAAGCAGTAACGCAATTGAGTTTACAAAGTGTTTAGGAAAACAACAAAAGGCCAATAAGTTAAAATAAACAGAAAATAAGTTAAAAGAACAAGATAAAATAAAAACAATAGCGAATAATCCTAAATATATTATAGTTTATTTTTATGAACGAGAGAGTAATTAGCATAATTTTAACTGGTATCTCCGACCACTCCATGGGCGTGCTCAAGATTAATTGAAAAATTACTTTGAATAATTGTAAAAAATAAATGAATTATATCAGTGTTATAAAGTGTTATGTGTATGTAAACAAAAGTGACCTCTTTTATCACACACTATATTAGAACTGACTGGCCTACATTAAAAAGGGTTTTAAAAATTCACATTTTTTTTAATTTTTAAAAATTACAAAAGAGAAAAAGAGTTTTTAAAACCGTCTAAGGTATGTTAAATAGATGAATAAAAATATTAATATAAAACTTACAGCAACTTGTTACAAATCCAAATCAGATTCAGAAGATGAACTTTCAGAACCAAGATTTATAATAACTGGCTCGATCATTTTATCAGTAATATTGTCCAGCTTCCACATTTTTTTCCTCTTCTTTAATAGTGTGATTTACTGCCTTTTCCCAGTTTTCAGGTTTTACTTTATAAACGGCCTCCAAAAACAACTGTTTAACATCATGAATTTTAAAAATGGTATTTTTTCTTGAAACTTCACTCTTTATCTGTGCCCATACCAGTTCAATCGGGTTTAATTCACAATCATATGGTGGGGATTTAAGTACTGTCATTCCACGATTTTTGGCAATTTCATCAATTTCGTATTTTTTAAATTTTTCTTTATGAAGGGCACACAACGAATAAAGTTCCTTTCTTATAAATCCTGGATGGTACGTAATATTTTTTAAACTCAGTCAATTCTGCAAGTCTTTTTTTAACCACTTGGTTGTGGGCAGTTCTTCTATGTCTGGAGTGATAACTTGCATTATCCATTACTATTACACAGTTCTTAGGAAGAATATCTATCATTTTTTGTTCTAACCATTCTTGAAAGACATCAGCGTTCATGTCTCCATGGTAGTCACCGGTACGAGTTGATTCAAAAGTTAATAAACCACCTTCAGCAAAACCGTCTGAACTGCCAATGTGTACTATTATCAGCCTGCGTCCCTTTCCTGATGGTGGCTTTAAACCAGTAGATAAGTTATTTACAAAAGCGTGCCTTTGACTTGTAACAGTTTCATCCTGCCAAAATTTATTTGGTGTATGACCCTCGTTGATCCATGTTTCATCAAGATAAAATATTTTTCTTTTTTGGTCTCTCATTTCCTTTATGGTTCTTAGAAAATGTCTTCTCCATATGACAATATCGCTTCTTTCTAATAAAATAGACTTTCTAGGATTCTTTTTCCAGCGGAAGCCTATTTCTTTTAAAAGTTTCCATAACGTACTTCGACTCATTTCTGGGTAATCCTTATCATCTCGAACTAAGACAAGAACTTTATCCAATGTTGGAAATTCTTGTCTAAAGAAGAATTCATGCACTTTCCGTCGAAGTCCTTCTTTAAAATGATATTCTATCTGAAATTTTGGTTTCCCTGGAGCATTACGTGGCATTTGAAAACTACCACATTTCTCTTTTTTAATAACTCTGTAAATCGTAGATTTCCCAACACCAAGTGTACTGCTAACTAACTCAACGGTCTCATCAACACTTTCACATAAACGTTTGTCTGTAAATGATTTAAAACAATTAAATATTAATGTTTTTTCATTAACTGTTAAAGGACCAATTTTTCGGCGTGTACACGGCACTTCCAAATTTTCCATAACACTAGTATACACAATAAACTGCACCTTGCAACTGAAGTACCTACTTTTAGTGAACTGTTAAGAATTTTGAATACGCCACTTAGACCTTCCTACAAAATGGAAAAACCCACTATCACATTTTCCTAGGAATAAGTTTAGAAGGTAATTATCTAGTCAATTACTGTCGTAGATTCCTGGAATTAAAGAATTAAATGTTTGATTGTTGAAACCCTTATTTCGTGGAATGCACTCATTTCAGATAAAATAAAACGTTTTTTTTATCTAAAGAATTAAACCTTATTTTGCAAATAGGTAGGTACTAATTAAACTTTTATTGGTTATATATAACCAATAAAATAAACATCTTACATTTTTTGCAAATTCATTAGTACCTGTTAACCTCCATCACTCCGACACTGGCAACCTTGTTTAGGGATTAGTAACCCTCACAACTATTGTATTCTATTCTGCTCCAACCTTTATACCTGGTGGTCATACTCAATTTAAAATTGTTTTCCAATATACTTCTGTAAACTTGTTGACAAATATCTGTTTTTCATTGAGTCACCCGTATCAACAGTTTAGGGATTTGCATACATAATTTATTGTTTTATTACTCTCTCATACATAAAAATACACTATAGAAATATTTTAAAGGAGACAGCAAATAATACCCATTTAATACCAACACAAATTCATTCAGTTCATTGCCAACAAATAATAAAATTTGAAATAAAGGAAAATGCTTTACAAAATGACGGTATTATATTTTGATTTGATACAGAGCAGCAACAAGCCGCATATACGTATTTCGATCTCTTTATATCTCCTCAGTACGGTATAGTTACTACTCCATATCAAACCAAAATAGTTTCCCGTCGTAGATTATAGTTATTAAAAATAACTATTTACGGACGTAATTACGTCATCTAAGAACAAAAAGAGAAGTCATACGATTTCTACCTGGCGAAATCGAATTCAAATATAAGCCGCCGTGCTCCCTAAAACTTGCGAAGCAAACAGCTTGATAAATGACTCGGCAAGGAAGTCTAAAAATTACACTCCAAATGCCGTTCTCCCTTCTTCCAACAGCAGATATTTTGGTTTGATATGGAGTAGTAACTATACCGTACTGGGGAGATCTAAAGAGATCGAAATACGTATATGTGGCTTGTTGCTGCTCTGTATCAAATCAAAATCAAATACCGTCATTTTGTTTTGTTTATTTACTTCATTTGGAGTACCAGAAATCGAATTCACTACGAATATAGGCTATGATGAACGGCATTTGGAGTGCAATTTTTATACTCCCTTGCCGAGTCATTCATCAAGCTGTTTGCTTCGCAAGTTTTAGGGAGCACGGCGGCTTATATTTGAATTTGATTTCGCCAGGTAGAAATCGTATGATTTCTCTTTTTGAATATGCTTTAGTTATATAAAAAAATTTTTATTGATAAATTTTGAAATACAGTGTCAAAAAGTTGATTGGCCTTTCAATTACCAAAGAGGAGATAGAAAAGGTAATATTAAATTCAAAAAACAATAAGGCACCTGGACCAGATGAAATCCCGTCAGAAATACTCAAATTACTGGATGAAGGGGGAATTTCAGCACTACATAAAATATTTAACTTAATTTATGAAACTGGCTGCTATTCTCAACAGTGGTTACGCTCTACCTTTATTCCCCTGCCCAGAAAGTCAATTCAAAAACATATGAGGATCACAGACTCATTACCCTGATGAGTCAGACTTTAAAGATATTCTTAAAAATACTACATCAAAGATTATTCAAAAAATGTGAATGGGACATCAGTGACTCCCAGTTCGGGTTTAGGCAAGGTTTTTGAACACGAGAATCAATAGTAGCAACACAGGTGCTGGTCCAAAATTGTAAAATTGTCAGAAGAAGGATGTGTTCCTATGCTTTTTAGATTACCAAAAAGTGTTCAATCGTGTCCAACACCACAAGTTAATGCAGATCCTCAAGAAAGTTAATATAGACCAAAAAGACATAAGATGCATTGAAAACTTGAAATGGCATCAAACGGCACAGTTAAAATAGACAATTCTATATCCAAACCCATACATATAAGAAGGGGCGTTCGACAGGGATGTGTGCTTTCCCTTCTTTTATTTAACATTTATTCGGAAGCCATATTTCAAGAGTCTTTGTAGGATGCAAATATGGGAATCAAAGTGAATGGAGTATTGATCAACAACATACGATATGCTGATGATGGTGTTTTAATTTGTGAGAACATAGTCGATCTTCAACAACTTGTCACTATAATCGGAGAATACAGTAAGCGAATGGGATTACAGATTAATACCAAAATAACCAAATTCATGATCATCTCCAGAAACTTGGATGCACTTGAAAACTCCACCATAATACTGAATACTAAGTCCATTGAAAGAGTGAGTAAATTTAAATACCTGGGATCGTGGCTTTTTGGAGACGGGGCATCAGACAGGGAAGTAAAATGTCGCATTGAGCAAGCTCGACAAGCTTTCGTAAAATTCAAGAAGGTACTGACTTGTTCAGAGTTCGGTCTTCAACTGAGACTAAGGATTACTAAGTGCTACGTGTGGTCAGTGCTGCTATATGGCGTAGAGGGCTGGACACTCAAAACGAGGGATATAAACAGATTAGAAGCTTCCGAAATGTGGACTTTCGAAAACCATGGACAGCGAAAATCACAAATATAGATGTCCTCAAAAGAATAAACCAAGAACGCCAACTTTTCGAAACCATCAAGAAAAGGAAAATGGCGTATCTAGGTCACATCATGCGAAATGAAAAATACCAGTTCCTCGAACTTATAATCGAGGGTAAAATTGAAGGCAAGAGAGGAATAAGACGCAAGAAAATGTCCTGACTCCGAAACATAAGGCAATGGACAGGGATTAACGACATACTATCTCTGATACATATTGCAAGAAATAGAGAATTAATGGAAAATGTGATCGCTAACATCCATTAGTGGATTTGCATCTGAAGAAGAAAAAGAAGTCAAAAAGTTCCAGAAGTTACCATTGTGGTTACCTAAAAGAAGTTAAGACCTGTAAAGACTTTTATATTTATAAAGTGTGGACCACACGTGGCTTGGCATCTTAAGTTTTGAGTACCGTGAAATGGGGTGAGATTGATCAATTTTAACTTTATTTGATTTATATTTTAAACGTTTTTGTGACTGTTCTGTATCTAAACACTTCACGTGTTATATTAGTATCTAAAGAGTAGTGATTTAACACTAGTTTTGTTTTAATTATTAACAAAATCCACTTATCTCATAAAAAAGGGCGATCAATCTTAGACCCGTACTGGGGTGAGATTGATTATGTTGATTTTATACCACGAAACAGTATTGCTTTTAAATAGAATGTGATCAATCTTAACCCTGACGAATTCGGTCAGACAGTTTTTTGAAGGGGTGAGATTGATCATGCGGGGTGAGAATGATCACACTATTTTTATTGTACTATTCTTTATTTATACAAAACAAAACATATTTTAACAACTAAGATGTAACTCATTTGATTTAACATTCTTTTATATTAATTTCTCCGGGAAAATTATATTTTTTTATCGTATTAGAAATCGTCTCAAGTGTCGAATCTGGTATTCTTTGTTTCACGTTAAGAAAATAACATTACGCTTATGGAGATCAGTGTTGCCAAAACTCTCAGACACTCTCTTTTGCACGGATGTCCAAGATATTCCCTTTGCTTCATTTTTGAATTTTCATTTTCAATTAATATTTAACTGTAAAGTCAGAATAACTACTAAATAAAAGTCTTATTATCATTATGTAGTCAGAGACGGCATAAAATAGCTGACATACGCACATCGTATTATTTTAAGTTGCAATTAGTAATTAGATATACGCATTCCAAGCGGTCAATATTTTCTACTGATTTATATGATTCATGGCATATCGTATTCTCACCGAAAAACAAATAAACTGTCGTTACTATAATTAAAATAAGATAAAATAAAATTATCTTTTGTAAATACTATTTATCTAATTAAAATCATTTTCCCTACTTTTCATCTCTTGTTTCGAATGGGCACTTTTGGTCAATTACGTTAAAAAACATTAATTTAATTCATGTTTGTGGAAACGAAAATACAAATTATACAAACCTAAATTGTGCTTGTGTGTGTCGTGGCAACGCCGTGTTGCTATCGTCCATAAGAAATACATGGCCCTATCTTCGCAATGTTATTTTCTAAACGTGAAACGTAGTATAGTAAGGCAACTACTTCCTTGAAGGGAACAGTGGATATGTCATTTTCAAATATTTTGAAAATCTTTCTGGATCCTGCTGATTTAAGGCCTTGAACTTTGATTTCTTCTCCTTCTAAAACTCCTTTTACCTAACAGATATAACGAAATTCCGTCTTTTTCTGAGAACCAGACAAAAATCTACTAACAGGAATTTTCCCTTCGTGATGTTTTCTAATGAAGGACAGAAGTATTCAACCTCCTTTTCATCTTTGTTAATATCAACATCACTGTTGCTGTCATCTAATTCCAGGTTTTTATTTAAATCATCGTCACTGGACTCCTCTGATGGTTTAGGTGCTGTAACACTTTGACCAGGTTCAGCTGCTAACAGTTTTCTTTTACGTCTAGGTTTTTCAGAGCCGGAATTGTACCTCAAGTCTTTCAAAAAGTTAGTAAGAGAGCATCTAAGCTCGGCTTGATCAATAGCGTCTTGTGGTAGCTTTTCCAAAACTTGATTGGGGTTGAATGGGACAGAAAGTAAATTTCTTTTTACAGCATTTTTCTCTCCGTCTGGGTTTTTAGTTGGTACTTAATTCGCGATTTTGAGTGTTTGCTCCAACAGCTTAGGAAATTCATTTTTCGGAATGCCAGAGGTTTTGGAATTTTGCATTTTCCATGATGTTAAAGTTTTCCTCCAGCTTTATTTTAAGGGCGTAAATATGGCGTTGTAAATATGGCTTTAATGGCCAATTCCATGGTATTTTCATTAATGTTACAGCAATTGGTTTTTTTTTGGCCTTAGGTACAAGACCTATTTAGCCAGACAATATAGTTTGAATACATACAAACAATCTCCTACACTTCCTTCAAATTCATGACAATTTCCTAACTGTTCGTTCATTTGCACCACATTCACTGAATTTCCTAACATTCTCATTGAAAACACTATTGTGTGACTATACAAAAAGGATTGAACAGGAAAAACGATTGGTTTTTTTTGTGTAATTCCTAGGCATCTAAAGCCAATGCAAAGAAGTGCAATGAACATCGCACCATAGCCTTAATGAGTCATGTCTTGAAATTGTTTTTAAAAGTATTTCACAATAGAATACATAAGAAATTAGATGAAGGCATAAGTAATACACAAATGGGATTTAGGAAAGGACTGGGAACACGAGATGCACTGTTTGCAGTAAGTGTTCTTTCGCAGAGATGCTTAGATATTAATCAGGAAGTATATTCCTATTTCATTGATTTTGAGAAGGCATTTGACAGAGTGCAGCATAATCGACTTAAAGAAATTTTATTAAATGAAAACATAGACAATAGAATGATCTGTAACCTCTATTGGAATCAAACAGCAAAAGTGAAAGTTGAAAACGAACTGACCAAGGATATCCAGATTCGCCGTGAGGTCGGCCAAGGGTGTATTTTATCACCCTTGTTATTCAATTTATACAGTGAAGCCATCTCAGAATTAGGGCTTGCCGAGATCAGTGAGGGCCTTATAATAAACGGTGAGCCACTTAATAACATAAGATATGCTGACGACACCGTCCTTGTATCAGGAACACTAGAAGAACTGCAACACCTTGCTGAACAACTAAATATATATTGCAACGATTATGGACTAAAAATAAATTTGAAGAAAATCAAGTTCATGGTATTTACAAAAGCACATTACATCAAAGTTAAGCTAGTACTAGATAATACAGAAATTGAACAAATATCTTCGTACAAATACTTTGGAGCATGGATCACAGAAGATACTGATCAGACAAAAGAAATAAGATGCCGCATTGAAATTGCGCGGTCAACTTTTAATAGAATGAGAAAACTTTTTTGTAATCGCGATATCAATATATCGCTCCGGATAAGAATGGTTCGATGTTATATTTTTACTCTACCCTTTTGTATGGAGTTGAAGCTTGGACACTTAAAAAATCCAACATTAAAAACCTAGAAGCACTCGAAATGTGGTGTTACCGACGTATTTTGAAAATATCATGGATGGATCGCAAAACAAACGAACAAGTTTTTGAAAAACTAGGAAAACAATGCGAAGTTTTAAATTCCATAAAAATCAGAAAATTGGAATACTTGGAGCACATCATGAGAGGTGAAAAGTACGAACTACTAAGGAATATAATGCAGGGTAAAATCAAAGGTAGAAGAAGCGTAGGAAGACGTAAAATCTCGTGGCTACGCAATCTCCGTGAATGGTTTGGATGCAGTTCAATTGAACTATTCGGGCGAGTAACCAATAAAATTATAATTGCCAGAATGATTTCCAATCTCCGATAGGAGTGGAACTGGAAGAAGAAGGCATCTAGAACAAATTAGTAGACAGAAATTATTACTTACTTAGATATAAAAAAGATCAATATACAAATAATGTACGTGGGGAACATTTGGCTACGAGCTTAATATTCCCCATAACAGTTAGCCGAAGCTTTCCCACGTGCCCTAAAAATATGATTAAATAAAATTGAAAAACTAATCAATGTTTTGAAGGATATGTAACATTACAAAAGTAATAAATGTTCTATCATATGCACGGCAATTGGTGCATATATAATAACAAAACCATTCGCGCTCGGTACTCAAACCATTCTCGATCAGAGCATTCGTTGAAATTATAAATCACCGCATATGTATGCGTGCTCAAGGCGCTCCATCCATTCGTGAAAACAATGTCTGAGGAGCTGCTTATGGTTATTGCCGTGTTTGTGGTTATTAGTTCATTAAAAAAAAGAAAACAAAGGAAAAATAGGCGATGGTGGACGACGCATTTATTTAAAAGAAGAACCCTACAAATGAAGTCCGATTTACTAGTAGATTTGGCGTTAGAACCTAATACTGGACAAATTCAAAATTTTACACGTATGTCAGTAGAAGACTTTTAAATAATATAGGCCCCGTAATAAAGAAAAACGACACAGTCTTAAGAAAAGCCACACCTGTTAAGGAACGTTTACTGATAACATAATGTAGCGTGTTCTTCATACAAATCTATTAATTGCAAACATTGTTCATTTGACCACTCCATTTTACATATAAATTAATAAAATAAATAAAACGCAATAAATCCGAACTTGTCTTACAAATGCAACAAATCCCCACGCTATTCGTCTAAACTGAGCGCGAACGCACACGTATGTTTCTTTGATGTGTGCGAAAAAACCGACACCACTCTGGCTCGTAGCATGTGTGCTAAAGTCATTCGCGAGAAGCAACGCATGCGGCGAGAGGTTACGAAAGCGCCGTCCACACTTGCACACGTATGCGTATTCGTGGCTGCTCACCGCATCGCATGCGTTTGTAGGTCTGTAAGCGCCTTAATATACGTAAAAAATTACGACGAAAAAATTACTACCACTTATTAAAACTCGTTTGTGATAACACACTGTCAAGGTCGGACAATGTTTCTTCTAGCAGCTTGGGTTGATATTGGGGCCTAATTCAAACGTAAATTGGATATATTGGGAGTAGCTGAATGTTCCATGGCCAAATGTGGACTACTTTCCCCTACCAACTAAACCGTAAGGACGTGCCTATCTGAACTTGGTGCCAATAACTGGAATCCTTGGTATGACAGTAACTAGACTTAAGTGCCAATAAGTAACTGGTGAAATAGACCGATTCTCAAACAACAATTTATATAAAATAATTCAGATGGTTTTTGAATAAAAAGACGTCACTATTGTATTCTAAAAATACTACCAAATCTGTAAGTGAAAATACAACTATAGTATATTTGAAGAATAAGCTGGAGTAAATTCTCAGAAAAAAAAACTAAATTGTTAATCATATTTTAGTACGTGTGATTTTCGTACAACTTCAATATTTTAGCTTATTTTACGTTGGGTTTGACTATTTAGATAGAAATTTTTCCATGTCACATGGACTATCGTAAAATTTAAATACCTGCTATTGTTAAAATTGTGTAGGCTAGGGTTTTTTTCTGCTGATCATAGACGTACTTTAAGGGTATTACATTATTTGTTTCGGTTTGTTAGATATTTAAACCGTTTTCAAAGCATATTATATTTATATAAATCTGTTTATTTTAGTAACGTTGTTTATAGTTATGTTTGTCGTTATGATAATGACCCATTAAATAACCAGAAATAAAGAAACTCTTAAAATACATAGGTATTTAGTTAATTGTCTTTTGATAGTTTAGATAGAAAAAGTCGATTAGCTAAATATGGTTTCTGATAAATATGAACGCTATCTTAATAGTATAAATTTCGATTTTGTTTGGAAAACCAATGATTAATAAAATGGTTACTGGTCTTTAAATAGTCATTCATTAATATCAGAAAATTTTTGTTTAGTCGATTATAAGCGAGTGAAGAGATCTGAGACAGTTGTTTTTTGCAAGAGTGAATAGTGATTATATAGAATATGGAATTAACGTGTGATTATACACTAGTTAAAAAATTAAAGTTGAATCATTTATCACTTAACGAAAAGATGTTATCCTTAACGTCTACAATTATTTTAAGCAAGACAATCCTTCCAATTATGTTGATAGTATAGTTGAAATTTCGTCTAAAGTAGTGGGATATTCAAAATCAACTGTATATAACATTTTAAAAGAGGAAAAATCAGCTGGTATAACACCACCCATACCGAGACCAGGAAGACCAAAATTGTCGAAAGTGAATTTGGATGAATTTTTCAAAAATGCAATTCGTAGAATGGTCCACTCATTTTTTTTTAACAAACAAATATCAACTTTATATAAAGTTTTACAAGCTATTACCGACGATTCCGATTTACCCACAATAAGTAGAGACAAACTTTGCATGAGTTAAACTTTAAGTATGAAAAAGTGGGCAGACAGTCAATGCTTATCGATTCCGAAGAAATTGTGTGTTTAAGACTAGACTACCTTAGAAAAATAAAAAAAATGAGGACCGAAAATAAAAACATTTATTATTTAGATGAAACGTGGGTTAATGAAGGGCATATTGTAGGAAGAGTTTGGAAAGACAAAACTATAAAAACATGTCGACAAGCATTTCTGGAAGGATATTCACCTGGTTTCAAGGAACCAATAGGTAAAGGTCGACGATTAATTGTTACCCATATAGGTAGTATGAATGGTTTTCTTAATGAGAGTTTACTTTTGTTTGAATCAAAAAAAACCTGTGATTATCACGAAGAGGTGAACGGAGACGTGTTTGAAGAATATTTCGAACAGATGATTGAATTCATACCTAAAAATTCAGTTATTGTGATGGGCAATGCAAGTTACCACTCTAGATTAGTTGAACGTTTACCAACTACTCAATGGAGGAAAGATGAAATTGCAATGTGGGTAACTTCTAAGAATTTAATCTTTGACGATACAATGACAAAAGCAGAATTATTAGAGCTTGCTAAAATAAATAAACAAAATTATAAAAAATATGTCATTGAGGAAATAGCCAAAAAACGAGGAATTGAAATACTTCGCCTACCGCCGTATCATTGCGAGCTAAATCCGATTGAATTAGT